GTCCTGGTGCTTGCTCCAGGGCTGCTTGCTGAGGGCCCTGGCCTGTGGTAAACCCTGAAATGCAGGGCAACCAGAGCAGCCCTGGCAGCGCAGGTGTCCCCGGAGGAGTGGCGTGCAGCCTCGGAGGGTGTTTCCACGGGCAGCCAGGAAAGGTGTGCGTGTCTGTCCTGGACTGTCAGCAAAATGGGGTCCGTCGTGCAGCCCAAGTAGACCGGAGTGTGCTGAGGCGGAAGCAGGCTGTTCTTTTCCGGGGAGCGCGAAGAGCCGAGCAGGACGCAGCTTTGCCTGCACCAGAGGCTTGTGGCGCAGGACCCCAGCGTTCTCTCCAGTGCCTGACCCGTGATCTATTTGGAGTCCCGAACTTGGGCTTCTTGAGAACCAAAGAGCTGCATGTCAAGTTCTGTGTCAGATGTTGCTAGTTTTGGTGCCTGCTTGTTGACTTTTGCACATGTGCTGGTGTGAAGGGTCAGATCTACACTGCCAGGTCTCTGTCGTCTTCTTTGGGGCTAGTAGTTCTGGATGTTGGAAGTTCACTTCCTTCTCTCAGCTCAATTTTATGCACTTGCAGACAAGGCAGTTCAGAAGGATGGCCTCTGATGTCTGTGGCACCTGCCCACCTCCCTCAGGTGGCCCTGGGTGCTTTCCCTCCCAGACCACAGGAGCCCTATGGCGGCCTGGGTGGGGTCTGCCTGTGTGTCCCAAGCAGGAGAATGAGGTTTCTCAGCTGAACAGGATGAGAGAATGGACAGATGTTTGCTGATGACCAGACCACATGGGAGGATTTCCTTTTCCTGTCTCTGCCACGGGCACCTCTTCTGTGCTCGAACCATGCTTGAACCACCGAGTCTAAGCAAGTCCCAGCGTCCCGCAGGCCTGGGGCAGGCGTGGAGCCACGGGAGGCAGGACAGCCAGAGCTGTTGTGTGTTGTTAGCGGACGTCTTACTGCCATGCCAGAAACTAGACGCAAGGGACCCTGAACCAGACAACACAGGCACGCATTTGCCGAACTCCAGACTGTAACCAACGTTCATTCTGAAATTATATCGTGTGTTTCCAAGCCTCAGGAAAAGATGGTGGGGGTGGGGGGTAGGAAACAAAACCTGGAGATGTGTTTAATGGACTCTGTGAATTGGGACCAAACCTTTTGTATTTCCTAAAACAAGGAGTCGCGAGTCGGGTCGAACCCGAAGTCACAACTGAAATCAGCCCTGCTCTGCCAACCTGCCTAGCTACGTGAGCGTGCAGGTCACCTGGGAGCTCCGTGTTCTGGATCGTTTGGCAGGACTCGTCCTCACCTCGCAGGGCTGCTGGGAGGTTTGAGGCCGGGTCCTGCAGCACCCAGCTTGGTGCCTGGCCAACAGTGGGCATCCAATAAACGCTGAAAAAGAAACTGGTCTCCTGGAATTAAGCACATGGTTTTGGTCCGTTCTGGTCTCTGCACACAAAGCTGGGTGTGAAAGAGGTGACAAGGAGCGTAAGAAGCAGATCCACATTTGAGATTCTGCGTGCCTTTCCTCTTCCTTAATTCCAAGAATAGGCAGTAGCTGGTGTGAGTCGGGCTTGGAGGTGGTCGGCCTGCGAGGCTTCCTGGGTCTCGGAGACCGAGCACCACCTGCTGCGGCTGGTCGGGGCTGCAGTCACCCCGTATACAGGCCAGTCGCCACCCAATCTGAGTCGGCAGGAACCTGGGAGCCTCCACCCTCATCCTAGAGCAAATCCTCTTCTGGGCCAGGATGGGCTGAGACCACTGTCTTCTCAGCTCCCCCTAGAGCGGCCTGGCCCGCCCCTCTCAGGGGACCTGGGCGTTTCATGGCTGCCACTCCCTGCCATGGAGAGGGTCTGAGGAGGAGAGAAGAGAAAAAACCTTACCTTCTCCACAGCCAGCTGTGGGCCAAGACTGGGTGGGACACTTTGGTCACAGCTTGGCTAAGGAATTGGGACAGTGGGAGATGAAGGTGTGCTTTGCCTGGGCATCACACTGGCTGTGAACCACACTTGTTTTGTTTATCCCCTGCCCTAAATCTTTCTGGACCATACTTTTGCATGCAGAAATGGTCGAGTCACTAGTTTGAGAGATACATGTGACCCGGTAGCTAGCAGACCCGGAAATCCAAGCATAGTGTTTTACAAATGTACCTGGTAATTCTCAAACTCGAGGCAGATAGGTGCAAACGTGTGGTTTTAGTTCTGTGGCATCGGAAATGTAAAAAGAAAGGGCTCTAAAGCCATGGTGTTCTGCTTGGGAAAAGTGCTTTATAAAGAACTCTGGTGCATGACTGGTGTATTGGAAAATACATCATGATAGCTATTGACCAAGCAGATAGGTTTTCCTGATGTATATTTTAGTTCTTACCCAGGTTATAATCCTTGACCTGTGTTATATCTTTTCATTCTCTGGATTCAGTGAAGCACAAAAGAAAAAAAAAATTCTGGTTTGAGGTGTGACCGGCAAATTTTATCCCTCCTGGTACCTGGCTAGGAAAAGCTCTAACTTGGAAGAATTAAATCTTTCTAAAGTTCAGAATTTAAAGAGGATGCTTTGATTCCTCACTCCTGTATTGTTTGGCTTTTTACTGAATTTTAATTTGAATACATTCCTCTGGACATTTTTGTCTTAGGCGAAGCTGTTGGTAGATGCTACCACTGTATAGGGAAAAGTGGGGAGAAAGAGAGAGAGTGTGTGTGTGTGTGTTTCTGAGCCACAGGTAAACATGCCTACTGGTGCATTCCCCACCAAATCCGATGGAAAGCCCATTGGTATTAGCATTTTATAACTGCATGAAGAAATTAAAACTAAGCAGGGCATGGAGGCTTATACCTTTAATCTCAGGACTTTTAGAAGCTGAAACAAGAGTGTTGCTTGGGGCCAGGGTCCTGCTCTAGTTCAGCCTGGCAGCACAGCAAGACCTTGTCTCTCTACAAAAATAAGACATACAAATAGGCATAAGGCGTGTGCCTGTAGTCCCAGCTACTTGAGAGGCTGAGGTGGGAGGATCACTTGAGCCCCGGAATTCAAGGCTACAGTAAGCTATGATTGTACCACTGCACTCCAGCCTGGGTGACAGAGCAAGACCTGTCTCAAAAACAAAAAATATCTGGGTGCAGTGTATGCACCTGTAGTGCCAGCTACTTGGGAAGCCAAGGGGGTAGGATCGCTTGAGCCCAGGGGTCCAAGGCCAGCCTGAGCAGCAGAATGAGACCCTGTCTCTAAAAATAAATTAATTTTAAAACATTTTCTGGGTGCGATGGCTCAAGCCTGTAATCCTAGCACTTTGGGAGGCCAAGGCGAGAGGATTGCTTGAGCTCAGAGATTCGAGACCAGCCTGAGCAACGTGAGTGTGCCACCACACTCCAACCTGGGCGACAGAGTGAGACTCCAACTCAAAAAACAAAAAAAAAGTAAAACCTGTGTTCTATGTTTTTATTCACTGACTTACTGCCTCCTCACAGGCTGTATATGTAATTTGTGTCATACTGTGCTGTAATTCTACCTAGAATATTATAGCAAAATATCCACCCTGAAGCCTGACTAAAGTCTTGTAAAAGTTTTCATGCAGGGTTGGCTTTTGTCCTCTGTGAAACGTCACACAGCTCTTTCTACTAGAACCCTCGGCCTTATCCGAGAAACTAACCTGAGTCTCCCAGGATGGAAGAATTGTCGTGCAGGCAGGGCCTCCTGGGGTCCCTGCAGCTGCATGCTGCTGTCGGCCTGTGGTTGGTGTGTACAAGGGTACAAGGG